CACCATCGCATTTCATACAGTTTTTATCCATGGATTTTTAATTTTTTTTTTCGTTGCTGGAACACGCAGCTTGTTTGTTGTCTGCAACACAGTGGAAAGGCAGCCAGCCCCTTCCTGCCTTCATTTGCATGCCCCTCTTTGCCTGGAAGAAATACCTGTTCTCGAGGACACCGTGGCTTTGAAATAGGATACTGCCTGCAATCTTTATTGTAACATCTGACTTCAAAAGAGACAGTGCTGGGTTGAAAGGGAAGGCATGCTAAGGAGCTGATCCTTAAAAATAATGAGATCTGTTAAGAAGTTACTAATGTTTAACAAAAGGGTAAGGATAAATGTAATCAGCTCTGCCCTCTCATCATATTTTTTCCATCTTGCAGCCCTACAAAAAGGTAATTTGGTGAAATTATGGCAGCAAAGGCAAAACACACTCTTTTTCCCCAGTCCTCTGATTTACTGTTATTGAAGTCGGTGGCACACTATGGTTGAACCATTTCAGTGTTCACAGTAGAAATATCTTAAATTTTTACTAATTATGTAACAACTAAATAAAAGTTTCTGATTTTTTTTAATATATCTTTGATCTGTAAGGGGTTGCTTGTCAAAACACAGCCCGGAGTGAAGTGAAATGCAGTGTTGCAGCACCCAGCTGACAGCTCTGGGGTGTGTGTGGAGAAAGTGCCTGCAGACTGTTCACTGCTCACATCTTTTCAGCCCCATTGCAGTGCTGTTTGCTCCCACAGACCCCGGGATCAAAGAATGCCCCCTTGCATCTCTGGGCTCTTTGAGGGGCCTGGGTAATTATCTGTATTCATGGCCTGAATATTCAGCATTAATAACCACACTTCAGGGCAGAGCTCGCTGCATTTGTTATTGACAATAAGCAATGAGAATTAATTGTCCCTCATTAATTCAGTGGTGAACAACTTGCAGAATCACAGAATTATTCAGGTTGGAAAAGACCTCCAGGACCATCGAGTCCAGCCTGTGACCAATCCCCACCTTGTCACCCAGCCCAGAGCACTGAGTTGTTCCTTGGACACCTCCAGGGCTGGGGACTCCACCACCTCCTTGGGCAGCCCCTCCCAATGCCTGGAGACCCCTTCCATGAAGAAATTCCTCCTGATGTCCAACCTGACCCTCCCCTGGCACAACCAGATGCCCTTGGTTTGCTGGCTGTGCTGCAAACCTGCCTGTGTGGAGCTCCCAGGGCTCTGCCCAGACCTCCCACGGCATTTCTGCTTCACCCAGTGCACTTGGCACCTGGGCAGCTTGTGCTTGTCCAGACACAGCTCTGCCTGTCACAACCCAGTTCATGCCTTGGTTCTGAATCACACCCATAGGCTTGTGCTCACAGGCAGAACTCACTGCAGGGCCTGGGCTTGAAATATTTCAAAAATTAATATCCATGAGTAATTTTGCATAAATGAGCAGTGCCATTCAGTTCATGAGGGAGGCCTTTCTTCCCTAGGCAAGGCTAGAAAGTGCTTTAAAATAAATACATCCACCAATTACCAGAAAACTGCTGTAAACACACAACTGTTTCTAAGACATTGTTGCCAATTATTGCATTTGTCCCCAGGATAAACCAGGCTGGATCTCTTTAATTCTGAAGACTACTTGGATTTCACTTGGAAGCAAACAAGCAGGAAACTCAGCATGGCCACAGCTTTTAATCCTCAGACTTCACCCTTCTGTTGGCCAGGGGCTAAGAGAACCTCACAAGTTTAGGAATCTTCCACAGCATGGCTGCCTCAAGGAATCTGATTTAGAGGCTCAATCTCCAAAGGTTTTATGATTCATCACAATTGATAGAGAGGAGAAATATGAAATATGGCCCCTGTGCACTGCTGTAACTGGACTGACATCAGCCATCTATCATCAACTACCATTTGTATTCTAAAGTATTTATATCCCATTATTGAATTCCTCATGCTCTTTAAATATATTTCTCTTCTCGGCAACCTTATGAGATCAGGAAGAACTGTCACAAAGAGGGGGTTCTGCTCTGGCCTTGCAGGAAGACTGAGAGAGAGAACCTGAGCACATCCCTCGTCAAGGCCCTGCCACTGCATCGCCTTTCTTTCCACCTGCACCCTGTTTGTTTGCTAATAAAAATTAATACCAAATATTCCCCCTGGAAGACATCTCTGCTGTCAAAATACAGTACTCAGTGAGCTGCTGTTTCAAGTCATTTTACAGACAAGCAGGTGGGCCCTGAGTACTTTGAAAGCTGAAGTCCCTGTTTTACAGAGTTCCTAAAGATGAGCTGTCACAACGTGCTGGTCCTGCAGGTTGGGGGTGAATGAGTTTGGGAACTTTGTATTTTCTTATAAAAGGCTGTGCTGCTCTTATTATTTGCACCACAACCTCCAACAACTGCTTTATGAATTCATGTGCAGTAGAGTTTATCCTTCAGAGCATCACACTTTATCCAGGGTCTTCATTTGTATTCATCAGTGAGGATGGAAATAAAATTTAGCTTTAATTCAAAGGCTAATTTAGATTTCGGTATGTGATTAACATTCCACATACAATTACTACCATCAAAGTCAAGCATATGCATAAATCTTTGCAGGACTGGGGCCAAAAATATTTTTAAGTATCCACTTATTCAATATATTTTGAAAAAAGAATTATTCTTATCTATTATTTATTCAAGGGCCTTAACTACGTAAATCTTGACACAGCTAAGCCTCTCTCTATATATAATTACTCATTTTCTTCCTTTTCATCTGGCTTCTCCTCCATACATCGCTACCTAATTCCACCAGCCCTTAGGTATGAGCACAGTTCACTAACTGTAAATACAATTCACTCCTAGGAGCAGCAGGAATATTCAGCAATCTCAAAAACTAAGTTTTCAGGAAAGCGTGTAACAACTTCCAACAGGTAACAGCACTGACTGTATAATCTGGTAACGAGGACCAATAAAAAATAATCAATACTAAATGATAAAGATCTATACTAAATTATAAATTATTGCAATACAGGAAAAGGGAGGAAAAATACTAATTTTTGTAATACACACAGGAAAAATACTAATTTTTCCATAGACCACCATTCAACTACAGCGAAGTCCAACTAGTCCACTCAGAGTGGAAATCACCAAAACTTTAATACTATATTTTTGGCGTGCAATATAGACATAATTGAACAGTTAACAAACATATACAAGTGCAATATGCAAAGTGCAAAGGCAGCCTTGCTGTGGATTGTATCTACCAGGATATTCACAGCACCGGTCATGACATTTGCCAGCAAGAAAAACAGCAGCTGGTTTTTGTTAATAGCACTGATCAGGCAGGGGTGTGGCAGCTCGTCCTCCCTTCCCACCGGCGCGGCCGCTGTTCCGAGCTTTTTGTTGGAATTAGGGGGCTTCGCAACGCCCCAGCTGCAGGGCACGCTGGAGCCCTTCACCAGCAGCTTTGTGAGCACCAAGGTGAGATCAGTGGCTACAAAGAAGATAAATAACATCAGGGAGTGGGCGACGACCCAGAGGCAGAAGGAGAGGTTGGCCATCCGGCGGGACACGGGGTCCGCGCGCGCCTGGGACACGTGGAGGGACACGAACAGCACCACGACTGCCAGGGCCAGGACCCGCAGTGCCCCGAGCCAGCCCTTCACTGAGCTCCTGCACTGCAGCAGCCACAGCCCCACCTGGACACTCGCCAGGTAAGTGGCCAGATACCCAACGAGAGAGAGCAGCCCCTCCCTGTTGGCATCCAGAAATCCAGCCCTGCTGTCCCTGCCGCTGCTCCCGTGCAGGAGAAACGTCTTCAGAGAGGTAGTGTTGAGAATGAGCTGATAAAGTGCAGCCAGAGTTAGAGCCACGATCCAAGACTTATTTTTAGGAAATATGGCTAAAAGCAGAGATGCTGCAAGTCTCACGGAAGCCAAGGTAAAGAAGAAATTCCAGTGCACTCCGTACTCCGACGTGTGTTCGTGGTAATCTATGGATTTAACGCTCAGCAGTCGCCCCACGCCGAGGGAAACCAAGGGCCAAACAGAAAAGAGCTGCCTGGCCAGGTTGGAAAACTTGGGTTGTGTCACATGAGACTTCTGTCGAACCTCAGGACAGACGAGAGCGTTGCCAAAGATGAAAGCTCCGACCCCCAGATCCATAACTCCCGTGCCGTAGGTCTCGGCTTTGGCGTATCGCCTGGGATACTGCGGGAAGTCCACGGCCAAAATGCTGATGGTTGTCAGCACGTTGACATAGACACGGAACACGGTTATTGCTGGAATGTATTCGGGATCCAAGTACGTCTGCTGGAACTCTTTTACAATTTGCCCAAAGGGCACTCTGGTCTCCTGTTTTCTCTGGCTGCATATTTTGGAAAATATTCCGGCGCAGAAGGCGGCGAGGATAACTGGCACGAGAAAGAGGACTGGAGACAAGACCGTGCAGGAGAAGAGCAGAGGAGATACCAGCACCAGGAAGTCCAGCAGCAGGCTGTATTTCCTTGAACTTACAGGTTTTCCATAGTGCAGGTGGTACAGAATCAGGAGGAGCCCTCTGCAGAGCAGGCACAGGGGAGGCAGGGACAAGCCCACGGAAATTTCCAGCAAACTAGTTCCGTTCAGGTTGCTGATAAAGGCCTCCTTCAGCTGTTTTTGGGACATTCTTCTTTCTTCCTCTGAAAGCACAAATGTGACCTTGAGTTAGTTTTGTAGCACAGTGTAGCAACTGAGGCACGGACACCCTCGCTGGTCAGCAAGAGAATCCTTTATTATTTATTTCAAGCCTCTATTCATAGAGGAACTAGTTTCATTTCTGGTTTGTGAGCTAAGCATCTTCAACCTATCAACAAGCAATACTTGGCCCTATAAATTTACAGTGTGCATACTTCTACCTACTAACAAACTAGTGTTCATCTTTACACTTATTCAGCTTTCTTCTTTTCTTCAATTGTCTTGTTCTGGGTCATGCAACTTTTGGCTCCATTCACCTTGTAGACACTTCCTCCCACCTTCTGCCACATTCTCTTCCATTCTGGTAATGTCCTTTGCTTTGGTAACCCTTTAAGTTCTGCTCTGGTCCACGATCATTCACAGAACAGGGATGTCAGAACTCCTTAAAAAGGAACCTTATGTACCAGTTCATTAAAACACCATTGATTTCAGGAGTTATTGAGTTACTTTTCAATTTAAAGAACACAGAGCAGCGGCCCCCGAGCTGGAAACAGTGGCCTGGGAAGCTGAGCAGAGTTACAGGCACATGGAAGACTTGGACAAGCTCCAGCATTACCCATCCTGCTGCGCTCCAAGATTCTTCATATATTTGTGCTTAAGGTCTCTAAATACCACATACTCCACTGAATATTCCCATTGCGAATAATCTTACTGCATGTCCCGCTCCGCAGAACACACTCTGCCATCTTCTGTATAGTGTAAATGAAACAGTTATGTAAAAACGCGACCTTAAGGAACTTTGCGATGCCAGGTCAGCAACAAACCCGGCGGCTCAAATCCCCCCCGGCACCTCTTTGAGGCAGCCCCAGCCCAGCCCGGCTCCTCCACCTCCGGGAGAACACCCGTGAAACGTCCACAGCGTTAATAAACAGCTCAAAGCCAGCGGGTTTTGTCTCCCCCGCGGGATCTTACCGGGAGCGGGGACAGCGCGGGGGGCGGTGGCACAGACCGCCGGGGCCGGGGCCGGGCCGTGCGTGTGTCCCGCATCGCCCCGGCCCGCAGGTAAAGCCCGGCCGCGCTCGCCGCCCGCACTTTCGCCAGCGGAGCCGCTTCCGCAGCTCCCGAATCCCCGCCCGAGTCCCCGCCCGAGCCTCCGCCTCCTCCGCCCGCCGCTGCCCCGCTCCCGCCCGGCCCCGCTCCCGCCCGCGGTAAGTCCCGCACCGGCCCCTTCCGTCCCACCCCGCCCGTCCCGTCCCATCCTATCCCTCCCATCCCGTCCCGTGCCTCCCGCCGCCCCGGGATCGCCGCCCCGGGATCGCCCGCCCGCTCCAACCCCGGCCCCGCTCCCGCCCCGGGCCCGGCGGCAGCGACCTTGGGCTCCCGACACCCGCAGGGAGCGGCCGGGAGGGATCCCGCGTCCCCCGGGATCCCGCACAGACACAAAGGCCGCTCCCGGGGAACCGGCATGGGCCGGGGGGATTTGGGCTGGGGGTCACGGGGTGCCCTGAGCTCTGCGAGCATCAGCTCAGGGGTCGAACGTGGCGCTAAGTGGTGTTTTCATGCCAGGTAAGAATGGAATAAGGAAAGGAATAGGAATAGGAATAGAGAATAAAATAGAATAGAATAGATAAATAGAATTATAACATAATATTATATATTAGAATAGAATTAAAATAGAATATCGTATAGTAGAATTGGAATAGAATATAATTAAAAATAGACTATAATATAATAGAATTGGAATAGAATTAAAATTACAATAGAATTTGAAATAGAATTAGAAATAGAGTGGAAGTAATGGCAGTTTCGGCTGCTGGAAGGACAGAATTCTTCCTGGCTCTGTGACTGGAATCTCTGCGTTTACCACAGAAATCCAAAGGGCTTGACTCACCTTGGGTTGGCTCCACAGTTTTCCAGAGGAAGCAGGAAGGGGACAGCAGCCTATCTCGTTTCTGCTGCAGCACAAACTTCTCTGAGTCACAGCCTTTCCAAAAGCACTGGCGGCTCCTCCGATGCCGTCAGACCACAAATCTTTCCTATTCGGCCAAACAGAAGGAATTTAACAAAAGGTTGCAGTTTCTTGCCCAGAAACCTTGCTTTATTAATTCAAGAGAAACAAAGTGTTTTATTCCTGATGTAAGGAAAGGTTCATTATTGTCTCCAAATCAGCTTTATTTGCAGGGGCAGCAGAACATGTGACCGTCACTGATAGTCTGGGTAGGCTTCCAGTGTTGCCTGGTCCCACTGGGATCAGTAATTCTGTCTGAAGCCTTTGGGCTTTGCCTCTGGAGATTGACATGTCCAGAGTTATCTGGTTCTAAATGCCTTTTTGTCTTATTTAAGGATCCTTCAGTCTGATTTGAATGAAGTACCCTAAAGTAAGGCTCCTCTCCAGCGTTCCCATCCACAGGCCTGGACAAGATGCCAAAGCAGGTAAAGAGAAAACCAGGAACTGTGTGTGCTAATTAAATTTTACTGCCAGGAAAGAATTCTTGGCTTATTTCCATGCAGTCAAGATTAGGTAACTACTAATAAATATTCAGCCCTACTTCATGAATTGACTGGACCTATTTACTGTGGGTTTGAGCTGTGCTACCAACAGCAGGCAGGGATCTTTGTTGTGCCCTTGGCTTTAACAGGGCAGGTGCCTGTTAAGCACATCCTTAAGGGTATTTATTCCCTTCTTCATTTTCTTATCTAACCTCTCCTTTCCCTGTAAGTGACAAACAGGACCTGGAATCTCTCTTAGTTTTCCATTATGTTTGTACAATAAGTGTGTCCTTCCAGCCAATATTGTCAAGGGCACGGGAGCCCAGAGGGAAAGATTTGAACATTTTTGGTGATTCAAAGGGGACAAATCTGCAGCTAATGCAGGCCAGCTCTTCCACCATTTCTCTCCCCTGGCTGTGGTGTGTGTACCCTGAAAATGAAAGCCTCTGCTGGGAAAACTGCAGTTGTGTTGGTCCACAGTTGGACATGGGAGCAGTAGAAGAGCTGGAATAGTGGATGAGGTGAAAGTCCAGCTGGATTCAGCCTTTGACTGGTGCTGATCTGACACCCCCTCTAGGAAAACGGCCAAAAAGGAGACTCTGTCATCCAGAATGACCTCAGTGAATCATTTGAAGAAGAAGTTAGAGCCTTCCTCAGTGATGAAGAGAAACTGCACCTTTTTGATGACCTCACCAAAGTTAATCCAGTGACAACCACGACAGGTAGGAGCAGCCAGGGGAGGATCTCCTGAGGAATCACTTTCCCTGGCTACTGATCTGGGGTAGTTCCTGCTCTCATTGCATTAATAGGGCCATGAACACAGTAGTTAAAGATTCAAAGCCTATTAAAGCCTGTTCTGAGCCTTTCAAAGTCACACTTAGCATGCTCTGCATGCAGAGCTCACATGGGTGGTGTTGGTTCAGGCAGCCAGGTGTGAGTTAACACTGTTGCAGGACCCCTGCAGGACCTTGGCACTGCAGTTTGGTGTTACTGAACACATCAGAAAACGAGCTCTAACTTAGATTCCAAATATAGCCATGATATTGGTCTTAAAAAGTAAATTCCTCCCTCAGGTTTTAAAGATGATGCTGTTAGAAGCAGCTAAGGCCTGTTCCTAGCAGAGATGGGGAGTTCTTGCCTGTGTGTTCTGCAAGGGAATAGATTTGCCCTCTAGGACTGTGTGAAAAAAGAAAAAAAACAGGATTTATTGAATGGAATAGCAGATCCCTTAAAATTTTTACAAACAAGGACAACTCTTGAAGACATTGTTGTGTACATTAGACCCATATCTCTCTCTTGGTCACCTCATTCTCTAATAAACCTAATAGGTAACATACCTGAAGGATTTTTGTTCCAAACAGGCTCAGGATGAATCAAATACACTTGCAAAAGGTGCTAACAGAAGGTGTGTTTTTCAGTTCTGAGATGTCTTCAAGCAAGATACAGAGTCAACTTGTTTTACACCAATGCTGGCTGCAGCCTCGTGGCTTTAAATCCATTCCAGCCTTTCTCCTGCCTCTATTCCCCTGAGCTTATGAGAGAGTACCATGTGGCACTTCGACCTCAGGTAATGCCTGTATCTGAAATAACTGTCCTTCTGCAGAACCCAGATGTCAGGCTCCTCAAAATCTGTGTGAGCAAAACACTCCTAAAAGCTAAAACCCATTTCTAGTGAAATATCAGTTCTGTGAAAAGAGCAGCACTGTTTTCAGGTAAATGTGAGATGACCTTTGCTATCCATTGCTGTTGAACTGTGTAATTACCGTTCTCTTAAATCTGAATATTCTCTTTCACTGCCAGGATTTAAAACCTCACATCTTTGCAGTGGCTGAGCAAACCTACAGAAACGTCCAAAACCAGATGGACCCTGTGAACCAGTCTATCATTGTGAGTGGGGAAAGTGGTGCTGGGAAGGTAAGAAAATTTCTTTTTTTATGACATTGCTCTTAAGTTTTGAGATCTGCCAGTGATTTGTAGTGCAGAGTGTTGCACTGAAGGAGCAGAGATGAATTAAAACCCCCTCTGATGGAGCACGTAGCCAGTCTGCTCCAGTGTGACTCTCTTGAAATATGTGTGAAGCATTAAGTGATTGCTGCAGTTAAACACACTCTGCTTAATATAGCTGCTCTTCAGGTGACATCTGTCATTTCTGGGAGGGCTGGGTTTGAATCATTCAACAGGAACTGCACCTGAGTTGATGCCCCAGCCTGGTCTGTCTGGGAGCTCATGTAGGTGTCAGCAAACCCTGTGTAGAGACTTAGATGGAGCAGAGAGTTCAGAGCCTGCCCTGGGCCCTTCCCTGCTCAGGACAATATTGAGGGTATTTTTAAGCCTGAGAACAAACTGATTTGCTGGGTGTTAATGACTCAAAATCCGTTTATATTCCCTTCATCTTAAGACACTGGCTGTTAATTCTGGCTGAGCTTCCAGATGGTGACATCTCAATGAAACTGCCATTCAGCAAAGCACTCCCACTCCAACAGCGTTTCAATGTGTCTGTGGCACAGAGTTTCCACTGAACCAGAGCTACCAGCCTGACACAGTTCCTCTCTTTAGCCTCCCCACCAGCTGCACACTGTGTCTCCAGCAGCCAGCACTGCTCACTCACTGACACAGCTGATAACATGGGAAAAACAAGGCCCTATTGTCAAGCCTCTCTCTTGCAGACCTGGACCTCTCGCTGCCTTATGAAGTTCTATGCCTCTGTTGCTGCTTCAGTTATCTCCCCAAAAGGCAATGAAACTGTGGAAAGGATAGAGAGGAGAGTGTTGGACTCCAACCCTGTCATGGAAGCATTTGGTAAATGAGGCTTTTTTAACAGCAAAAAGCAGTAACGGCCACTGTGGGAATTTTCTTTGTTAGCACACAAATCCAAGCTATGTCTTGGTCCCCTCCTTAAAAGTAAACTCTCAAAATACAGGATCAAATCACCCTCACTATCTCTATGTCCTGCATGGGAGAGTAGAACCACTGATTATTGTGTCCCTGGCAATTCCACAGGCAACGCGTGTACCCTGCGGAATAACAACAGCAGCCGCTTTGGGAAGTACATCCAGCTCCAGCTAGACAGGTAACAGTCACTCTGCAAACCCCCTGTTGTCTTGTTCCTTTAAACCTTCACAAGCCTGTTGCTGAAGTCTGCCACAGAATATTTGATCTGCCTTTAGAGCGTATTTTGGTTTTGCTGGCAGCTCACAGTGTTGTTATTTCCCTTCTTGTTTCTGCAAGCTCTCACCCTGATCTCTCAAACAGAGCAGTGGAAGAAGAGAGATGCAGTTAAGAACTCTGAATGAAATACGAAATTAGGCTTGCACAAAACTGAAGGTGAACTGCAAAGCATTCACAGTCAGTTGGTGTCACAAAACACAGCACCTGTTGGATTCTGTGAAGAGGTTTTGTTGAAATCTTTGCTCTTTCCCCCCCTCTAGATTCCACCATCTGAGTAGTGCTTCCATTCAGACTTTCCTTTTGGAGAAGACCAGAGTTGCCTATCAGGCCCCCAATGAAAGAAACTTTCACATTTTTTATCAGGTTTGCCTTCAGTTAATTTTGCTGCGTATTTCTGACAAACAGTGGGATGAAATCACCAGATTTAGCACAGTTGCAACTTTCAATAATTAACAGTTTCCCTGTCTGCCAGGCTTCCAAATTAAATCACCCTCCCAGTATGTTATTCTTCCTTGTCTGTGAGCTGTAAATACCAAAGGCACAATTCAATCTTTACCTTGTTTTCTGCCTCCAGATCACAAAAGGTGCTACTGCAGAGGAGAGGCTGGAGTGGAACCTTCCAGAAGGGGCTGAGTACCGCTGGCTGCCAAATCCTGAAAGAAACTTGGATGGTAAAGATGAGTTTCACTGTCCATTAA